ACGACCTACTAGGAAATCCTTAATCCATTTTAAAAGAGGTCCGGCAATACCAAGGTTTGCCAACTTCAATAGCAGTCTATTAGTTGGCACCTTGTCAAAAGCCTTACTGAAGTCTATGTAGACAACATCCACTGAGTTTCCGTTGTCTAGCGCATTAATCCAGAGCTCCCTAGCTATAAGGAGGTTCGTTGTACAGGATAGACCCTTTCTAAAACCATGTAGTGCCATGTTCAGCAAGTTATTGGTTTCCATAAATGCTGTTATGGTCCGTTTGATTATTCTTTCCAGTATTTTAATTACAACACTGGTGAGGCTTACGGGTCTGTAATTTGATGGAAGTTGTCTTGGTCCTGTTACATGTATGGGAGTGACGATTACGTCCTTCCAGTTCATAGGTTACACACCATGGTCAAGTGATATATTGAATATCACAGTCAATTGGGTCGCGATATATTGTGCAATATGTCTCAAGATTCCGGGATGTAGTTCATCTGGTCCTGTTGACTTTCCCATGTTTATGGTTCTAAGAGCCTTAAGCACATCGTCTTGATGGAAGTTCACGGTGAGCAGGTGGTTTTTTACTCTTAATTTTGGTCTGTTTCTTTGTCTAGAGGAGGTTCCTGGGTGAAGACTTCCCCAAAATAGTCAGCCATATCCTCTGCTTTTTCCTGATCTTCCTCTATCATTTCAGATTCACTCCCTTCTTTGATTAGGTTGGCAATCCAATGATGCATCCTTGTTCTGTAGTTTATGTACGAGAATATTCTCTTGGGCTGCTTGAGTGCAGATTGTGCCAACTGCATTTCATATTTTCTTTGAGCTTCCCGAATCTTTGTTATACACTTGTTTCTCATCCTTATAAATTAGTATTTACATAAATGTATAGTTACGGACTTTTCCGAACGATGGGTGTTACTTACGATAACTTTAGGAGTCCACATGCGTTCGCATTCAAAAGTAAATTCCGGTGAAAATGGAAACCGACATATTTTTCTACGTTCTCTAGATAAGCAGTTGTAACGGCACCCCCTGAAATAACGAGATGTGTAAGTGGTTATCATAAATCCTTGACGGTTTTACTTAGATAATCAACTGACAAAAGCTCTTCTTGATGGTGCAGACAAGTGAACTACATTTTATTGTTTCAGATTTGTGTCGTAAGGACAGAAGGCCTACATCCTAAGTTATTTCTTTCCTCGTATGCTTCTGTGAGTGTCTAGTCGTCTTCTAGATTAATAGATGAAGGTGCGGACAACACTCCTTCGAATAACAGGTTCCAAGAAATGATGACGACGCGAAAATCTCTATGCCACGGGTATTTTCGTCCTTGGCTTTTCTACTCGCTTGTCATGTCCTCTGAGATGTCTCGATCTAGTGGGAAGAAAAAGGTATAATACATTGGGTCCAAGATCATTTCCTAGCATTCTATACATCAATATCAAATCGTCTCATAATCTGCGATAAAGGTCAGTTAGTAATCTACAACGTAAAAGCAGGCACACTAATAAATTGGTCCAAGTTAACACACCTCATTAGCACAAAAAGATGAACACCAAATTCATAGAAGTAGTCACTTTAATGTGAATAGTTTATAAAGAAAGGTTGTGTGTCAGGATATAGTACAGGAATAAAAAATTATTTAGCAGAAAGTAAGACATAAAGCAGTCTTAATCTCACACTTTAAAGGACGAAATAGCGTCTATATATCTACGCCATTGTGATCGGTTAAGAGCCGTATAACTGTAGAATTATGGTCTACTATGATATTAGTACTGCTCTAATAATAGACCTAATCCTAAATTTGTAGATTTGTCATGATATAACTGCCTAATCTATAAGATCTTATGTGGAAGTCACACCATCGACTACACCAACTCACTGTACCGTATCAATTACCAATATATGATGTAGAACAAGGTTAGGCTGGAGAAAGAACAATATATTTAATATGAATAGAAGATATAAGGTAACATTCAGCAGAGACCACGCCTGCATGGCCGAGCCATGCCACTCGATCAACTCCAGTCCATTCCATTCATTGTTCGCGCCTTCTCCATTGTTAGGTATTTATCCGCGTTAAATATTGACTATCTATTTTCTGAGTAGTCTCGTGTTCAGCTTTGTGGATTGTACGGTTATTGTTCGATGCCACTACGTAACCACGTGTCTCTAACCATTGATTACGATAGTCACGCGGACCTCAAACAAATGATCTGCACCTATCATTGTTCATAGACAATATTAAATCAATAGAAGACACAAATTAGATATAAATCCTCAATATGCACTAGATCTTTGCTTATAATTTGATCTGTGGCTCCAGATTCTGCTCACATAAATTGATTCACAATATCTGTGAAGCATACATCATAAATTAATGTGATCTAACAACATAGTTTAGTTACAATGTTCAGAAGAAACGTGCGTAGCGGTAAGCAAATCGCCAAAATCGATAGCTTTGTAAGTTCTTGACATTTGATGCTGACCGCACGAGTTCAAATAGGCTCATCTAGCTGAAGGCACACCAGATCATCAGCGAGTACGCCATGCTTCACATTTCCTACAACCGCTAGTCAACTAAGATTAGTCACAACTCAATAGTCTGTCAAATATATCTTCGAACCTCTTCGCCTATGTTTTCACTGGGTTGGCACGTTTCGATCACAGGTGTCACTGGTTAAGGTGTTGTCATACTCCGAATACTTGTGGAATCTTTGCATTCATCGTTTCACTTAGGAAGAATACGTGACTAAATAATGTTATACTTACAGTTATGTCACACACAGTTGCCTTATTTATTCAGAAAGAGTGAAGACTATCAAAGTCAATTATTACTCATGTAACTTCTCTTCCTGAGATAAATTCTATTTTAATACGTCTTTTCCGTCCATTACAAGGAATGGATCACTGTTGATACACTGGATAAGATTCAAGAAGGGGGAAACAAGAAGGCGGCAATCAACATCAGCCGAACAAGAACAGAGAAAGCCAAGACACAATCTGAATACACAGGAGACGACACACAGGGAGAGAGGAGCATGAGAGCCGACAAACGTAAATGTTTGAAAGATCTAGCAATGACGGCAGAAAAGGCTGCAAAATAAGGAAACATGAGATAATTGTAAAACACAACAAAGAAGCCTGCTAAAAACTAAAGTAAACCAGAATGACCAGTGAAAAACAAAGAAGGCAACGTAATCACCAACACTGAGGAACAGAGAAACAAGTGGGTAGAGTATTGTTGGGAACTCTTGAATCGACCAGCTCCACTAAAACCACCCAACAATGAGGAAACACCCATAAACGTTCCAATCAATATCGGACCACTAACAATCAAAAAGATTAGCATGGCCATCAGACAAATCAGGAGCGAGACCAGACAACATTCTAGTAGAAGTATTGAAAGTCGATGTAGAAGTAATGGCAAAGATACTCAACATTCTCTTCAACAAGATTTGAAATGAAGAACAAGTACCAACAGACTGGAAAGAAAGACACTTCATCAAGACATTAAAGAAAGACGATCTTAGCAAGTGTAACAACTACAAAGGCATCACTCTTCTCTCAATACCAGGAAAAGTCTTCAATAGGGTATTGTTAAACAAAATGAAGGACTCCGTAGACGCCCAAATTCAAGACCAACAGGATGGATTCCGTAAGGATCGATTGTGTATAGACCAAATCTCAACACTATAGATCATTGTGGAACAATCAATTGAATGGGATTCATTACTCTACACAAACTTCATTGACTACGACAAAGTATTTGACAGCATGGACAGGAAAACACTATGGAAGCTTCTTCGATACTACGGCGTACCTGAAAAGATAGTCAATATCATACGGAATTCCTATGATGGATTAAACTGCAAAGTCGTGCATGAGGGAACAGGTCACAGACTCATTCGAAGTAAAGATAGGTGTTAAAAAAGGTTGCTTACTTTCACCCTTTCTCTTTCTCCTGGTGATCGACTGGATCATGAAGACGGCAACAGCTGGGGGCGGGGGAGGAGCATTGGATACAGTGGACGGCTGGGATGCAGCTGGACGACCTTCGCAGATGATCTAGCTCTTCTGTCTCACACGCAAAAACAAATGCAGGAGAACACAACCAGTGAAGCAGCATCCTAAGCAGCATCCTAAGCAGCAGTGGTCTCAACATACACAAAAAACAAGGCAAGATTCTCTGGTCCGACACAGCATGCACCAACCGAATCACAATTGACGGAGAAGATTTGGAAGATGTAAAAGCCTTCAGATATTTGGGCAGCATCATTGATGAACATGGTGGATCTGATGTAGATATGAAAGCGCAGACCGACAAAGCAAGAGTAGCATAGCTACAACTGAAGAACATCTGGAACTCAGAACAATTGTATATCATCACCGTAGTCAGAATTTTCAATACAAATGTCAAAACAATTCTACTGTATGGAGTGGAAACCTGGAGAACTACGAAAGCCAACATCCAGAAGATACAGGTGTTTATTAACAGTCATCTATGCAGAATACTTAAGATCCGTTGGCCGGACACTATCAGCAAGAACCTACTGTGTGTGAAAACGACCCAGATCCCTTCGGAGACAGAAATCAGAAAGAATTGCTGGAAACGGGTAGAACACACATCTATTCTGTTGTAGATGAAGCTTTCATCAATATAGTCAATGCGGGTCGGCTGAAATGTCCAAGAATACTGTGCAGCCAGAAAGTTAGCGGCGTCACCGTCGTTATTGTTTGGGCCATTAGGACCTAGTGGCTGGGAAACTTGACATACTTTTAAGGACTAAGTATAGTATAATTTAATGATTTACCAACTTCTTTTTCCTCTATTATCGATACTATACCTAGGTTCCTGTCTGATGGTATTGGTGATCTAGTGCTACTATATATGGAATTATATTCCATCCTTAAACATTTGAACCATTTAGCCCTATCGCACGGAAGCAACGTTTGAGGTTTGAACATCGTACCAACGCGCAATTTACAACCAATCGAGTACAGGTGAGGTATGTTTTGTGTTCGCCAGTTTATTTTAATGGTATGGTATTTTTCTGTCTCCAAGATTTCATCAGATAAAATTCAATACACCCGTGGGAGATTCGGTAGAAGATGGGGCGGAGTTTCGCCCAGACCTTCTTTACTCGCATCGCTTGCCTGATATTTTACGCAATATTTAGCTCAGTATTTATGCTCATTGACCATATTAAAGGGTTTAGTAGGTCACTGATCGTGTTGAATGGTATTGCAGTTTTAATGTACGCTTATGTTGTGATCCCAATTCATAACTCTGGTTTTAATTTATAATGATCCTTGAAGAACAGTCGTCGCCAATAATTGCTAATTATTGTATATTTTTCTATTGTTTAGAAATGACTGATTCCGGAATTCTAAGCTTCAAGACGCCTGAGGAAATGCATGAATACATGAAAAATATCGGATTGGGTTTTGAATATAGTTGTATACGTGAAAACAATCCCGTCAGTGAGTAGGTCGTGTCCAACTTTTTAAAGTTTTCATAAAGGTTGTCATTCATGGGCACTATGGTTCAGTAATTATAAAAGGCTAGTTACCAACGGTGCAGACATTCTCAAAGAAAACTGCTTCAAGCGTAATTATGGAGATAGTTGCTATCAATATGGGTCATTAAAAGTCGTTGGCGATAAAGGCGTATTGAGAGATTCATTTGAGGCTTTCCGTGCATTCGAACATGGTTGTAAGGCAGGGAAACAAGGGCAATGTTGCCAAGTATGTCAAAAGTTTTGTCTATGAGTTTAAAAGCCAAATATTTAATATTTCTCTGTTTAATATGCATTAACATTCAGATGACAGAACACTGTCCTCAAAGACAAAGTTATCTCGCTACATTATACGACGACAATGGGGCGGCAATCTTGAGTTCTCATTTCTTAGTTGTTATGGATTGTCAAGATGTTTATATTTCAGTTTATAGATAGTCGTGATCTTGTCGCTTGAGTTATGATTAAATTTTTGATGTAACTGGTTTTGTCTTTCCCAGGATTCGAGGCTTCCAAATTCCTTATAATTTTTATATAACACTAATATATTTTTTGAATCGTGTCTTTGATGTTTAATCTCTCCCATTTCCACTGATACTATTACTACTTGTACTATGGGATTTGGCCTTATAATTTCATCTCTGTATCAATGGGTTGTAGCAGCTCGAACTGATATACATATGTGCCAGTTTCTACATTGCGACTCACTGACTACTACTTACTAAATATATTTATGCACGAGTCTTATACCCTAGGCGATCTTCCCTCTCGTTCATTGTTATTGAATTCATAGTCGGGAGCTATTAGCTTAGTACACAAATGTGGTTTTGGTTGTTGTGTACAGAACCATTGCATATTTTTTAGTTTCACTATGGCCGTTAATGACAACCTTGCACTTAATACCCCCCTTTATATAAATATACATACGGATTTCGACTTATCCAACGAGCACGGCATTAGTCATATTTAGACTATTTGTTATTCATCAGTCCCGAATTCCTTTTCCTCGATAAAATAAACGGGAGTTATATATTCTTTGCTCCTTTAATGATTTTTGTAATTCAGTAGCAGGAAAAAGTTCATCACAATAAGCGTCTGACTGGCGTATGTGATCTTTGATAGTTTTAAATTTGACAGTTTGTTAATGGCTCCAGGCTTAGTCACTTGACATGATAACTGCCTCTCTTATTATTGCAGATGAATTGTGGATAGATATTTTAGTTTATTTAAACACCAATATTGGTGCAAGGAAGCATCGAATATATATACAACACACAAATCATTCGATTTTTGTGGGGGTTGAGAAACTGCCTAGTTACTCAGACTGCTGCAGGTGGTTTCCTTGGGGAACCACCTCCTTGACCTTGAGGCCTAATCAATAAGGCAGTGAAGCAACGTCAGGAGGTGCAGTTCCATGGCAGCCGATGATCAACAAAAGGTTTATACGCCACTTGTTTCCTCAGGATCCTGGAGCCCATGTTCACCACTGGTTTGGAATCAGGATGTTCCGACTCCTAGGTGGGTCCTCTGTATCCACCAACCCGGTTAAAGCGCTGGACATTCGCTTTTCGTCCTTAGTTTCGTAAACTACGTCCCCGTCTCAAGAAGGCATTAAGACTTCCCTGGCAGTGGCTGTATGCATGTGGCTATGTGAGAGCATTTCGAGAGGGAGAGTGAACTCTCCTCAGGCAAACTAAACAAGACGAAATGATGTGCAATCGAGAAGGTGAGTGAGCTAACTTGATTTAATCAAGCGTGACTCGATATTTATAGTCAGGCCAAAAATAAGTTACAGACACGTAATGAATAGGATAAAAAATTAATACACATACGTTCATATGAAATTATTAGGGTTATTGAGGGAATAGGTGATTAAGTTGAAATCTAGCTTGAAAAGAATGAATAAATTGATCTGTCCATAAGTTAAAATAACCAATGTAGGCTTGGCGTAGTATTAGCTACTACAATATTGGTAAAAGCATCTATCTGAGCTGCAAATCTTTTCCAGCATTTTTCTAAACAAACATTTTATTATTTTTACTCCATCAGTCTTTAATGGTTCCCGTAGTTTTGATAAATTCACTTCCTGTAACACAAATTTCTGCCTTCTATGCACTTTTTATGACACAGGCTGCTGGACGTCTAGTTGCTGATGGTATAGCTAGCCATGCACCAAATTTATCTGTTGCAATGTCACTATTCGAATTAGGTTGCCAAAATAGAGTGCCAGAGAGTTGTTTTCATCTTGGTGGTGCAGCAATGGTATTAGCTAAAGAAAATGACAAATCAACTAATTCAGAAAAATCTCCTAATCCTACTGGTAGTAACGATAGTAGTCGTCTACGTGTTGAAGCATTCAAAGCATGGATGGAAGGTTGTAAATTGGGCCATGAATTCTGTTGTCGTAATATTGCAAAAATGTACTCCAATGGTGATGGTGTTGAAATGGATGAATTGAAAGCAAAAGATTTCCTATTAAAAGCTGATCAATTGGCGACACATAACAACGTGACACATACTTCTACTACTAATACTGCTGTGAATAAAACCGGTACATGATCATTTGTATAATAATAATCATAATCATTTTTGTACTTATCTCCCTCACCCTCACTAAAACAATTAGAATAAATTTTAGATTAATTGACTGCTTTTTTCCATTTTATACTTGGTTAGATGACGAGATTTTTTATTTTAAAAGTCAATTGAATTACCACACTTTCAATGGGATAGGGAATAGCTTTTCTCTAGGCTATTCTAGATATCTCGTTACAGGAGTGCTCAATTATATAGATCATTGAGGTATAATCTGATACTTAGCTTTTCTGTCGAAACTTGCATTGGTCCTCAGATATTGATTTGTGGTGACTACGATTATCGGTTTTAATAAATGTTGGACAAAGTTTTTAAGTTATAGATAAGACTTATTAGCGAGCATATTTAAATACAGGTTGTGGTGTGTGCTACTTATATTGACATAAGTAGTAAATGGTCGTAGTCGTGAACAGAATGTCTGACAGCAGAGAGACAAGAGGATCGAATAGTAAAGAATGGAAACAGAATGCAATTTGTATGAAGATGCAAGAACAATGAAGTCTGAGTCATTTTGGGACAATTGGTGAACATTTCTTAAATTAAGCATTTACTATTTGATTTTATTAACAAGTCATGTAATTCTCTGTCAGGCACTTTCGTTTGTCCCCACCCGTGTTCTGTTCACTACAAGGTTAGTGATGTGATAAATAAAGAGGGAGGAAGAAAAGACATTATTATCTGAACATAATTTTAATCTGTGAACTAGACGATATAACTTTTTACTTGTTGATTATGTATTTCTACTTAAAACGCGTAAAATCTGGCACGGCTGGACACCGAAAACAGTATGCGTAACATAAAAATCTTGTGGGCTGGAATACTTCCTAGGCGTTCAAACCGAAATAATCTACTTCCTTAGAGAGCCACTCTCCGAGCCTTTGATCTGGAGGTTTAATCCTTAGGGCATTTAAGCAAAATTCCCCCAGCATTTTGGAGCTCGTGTACACCATGGGTCCTTCGTATTTGTCAGCCCAGTGTGAATCCCGGACGTTCGCTCTTCGTCCTCTTGAAATCTCAAACATCATATCCGCCGCATTAGTAGGACTCCCTTATCAAGGGCTATAAACGCATGGTTGTATGACAGTACTTTGAGAGGGAAAGATGGTTCTTTCCACCGTTGGCCGTATCAGGTATTTGTGTACCGTTAATAATGACTGCAATTTGAAAACAACCAAGCTAGCATTTCTTCGTTCATGCAATTCTAATACATGACAATCAATCCTGACCCCTTTGCTCATATATATATCCAGTAGTCAATCTCAATTCTAATGGCTTAAGTGTTTAAGTTATAATATCTGTCCGTAATTGTGCAAATAATTAGATAAACTGATTGCATTCAATCTACTTATTAATGCAACTGCATTTTTTTACTATTTGGAACAGCTATTTTTAACTCTACTGTATCAGTTAAGCATCAATTGTATTCTAACAGTTCTTATTTCAATAATGTCTACTATTGTTAGCAGAATATAGATTGGGCTAAAGCATGTTCCGTGCAAGATTATGTTGGTGCACTCTGATTAGCTACTTGTTATAGCCCAAAACCGCCCAGCCAATTAAGTCCAGAACACCAATCCGAGCCTCTGCGATATGAATCATTATATTTTAAACATACTGAGTTTATATACCAACCAACCATATCGTACCATAAAATAGGAAACAAAATTTGTACAAGATTTAGCCAAATGTGGCTGTGAATGTGGGAGGTAGTAATTAATAGACAGGGCATAATTCAAGAATGGTAAATCGTATAATAATAGTTTAGTAGTCAAAATAAAGCTCATAATAAAAGAGACATGAATATGAACAGTTTAGTCACTTAACAATTATACAATAAAAGTATACGTTTAGTATTGGTCCATAAATGGATCCCGAAAGTTACCATTCATTATGTTTATCAGGACCTAACACTACTTATCCAATCAGCGCTAGTGAGTACTTAGAGAAGACTCTAGAATCTTCTCATGTAAAAACTATAAATATACTAACATTTTTCTCATTATGCTTCCTACTTCCATCTAACCTTGTTATTTAGAATATAATTTCGTTCGTGTTCAGATTTGGGTACTTGTCGAGTGAATCGATGTCCAAGAATACTAAGCAATAGGAATAGCTGAATCGTAATAAAAGAAATGATAACAATTTTAGTTTTGACACGGTTATGAACTGCCAATTGCTTATTATATGTCGTTGTAAGAAAGCTATATATATCCATTTTTGGAAGTATCCCTCCTTAATTGTGCGAACACGATAGTTCCTATGGATGAGTTACGAATTGATATTTGTAATGCATTTCATAGATCTTAGTGATAACAGCATTATATTTACAGATAGTCTTGTGCTTTTTGATCACCAGAGTTCTACGCATTAATTGTTAATGCGATCAAAAGCTTCAATAGAAAGAAATTAATACACCTAGTGGGAAATACTTTTCTTTGTTTATTTTTTTGTGTGTACAATACAAACCGAAAGAAATCATTAAGAGATCAACACAAAAAGGAGATTCTATCCATCAATCATTTGAAAACAAATAGAATCATTGAGAAGAATGTAGAAGAGTGAGATTCACGACGTTTTTCTTTCCGTCTTGCTTGAGCTGAAAAAAAAAATCTAAATCCACAATAATAACAAGCCACAACTGTGATATGTGCTACTGATGTCGGTAGATATAAGTAGTATATGTCACTAATTGAAAGTGGAATGTTGAAAAGATTGAAGAGAAGAAAACAACAAGTATGAAACAATTGATGGATATTTTACAAATGAAGCATTTACTATATGATTCTCGTCTATGTTCTCGTTCATGATACAACTATAGTTATTTAGGTAATGAATAGTTCAAGATTGTGTTTACAAAATGATTAATATCCCAGTAGTAATACACCTGTTAATGAGAAATATGTTATGAAATAATGAGCAAAAAAGAAGATAAACAAATGGAAATCACTTGACTAAATATGTCTACATATTTATTTATTGATATATACATGTGACACATTTGCCCAAAATATGAGTACATCATCATGGTGACAAAAATTAGTTACTATGCGAGATACAATTTCATAATTCAAAATAATATACATATTGTCATTGAGAGTAAATGAATTAAGAATATACCATAAAATGGTTTGAAAAATAAAAAAAAATAAGAGACTAGAGTAAAGGAATTCGCTAGAAAGTTATTGGATTTGTTATAAACTACATATTTTGTATGTTTATGTGAACCATTACTGTGATGATACAACATCTTTTGTTTTCATCCTTTGAAGACATGTACACGTTCTTTAGGAATAGACCATTGATTTGTTAGTCTAAAATTAATTTAAACAAAGAGGAATAATTATCAGAAGGGGTTTTGTGGAGATTTTAGTAATTTCAATAATTGAAATCATGAGTTAACTGAAGTTAGATAACCATGGAAAACCTGGAAGCACTGGACGGCCGTTTCGTCCTAATATGAGACTCAGTAGTGTACATCCTCGCCCCTGCGAGATTCGAACCCAGAACCAGATCTGCTGTGAGATATCAGCTCACTGAAGACAGTAGTATACGGTGGCGCAATTTCGTAGATTAGTTGAAGTTAGACATTAACACCGTTGGATGCCGGCTCAGTGGTCCAGTCGTTAAGCGCGAGACTGGTAGGTCTTGGGTTCGAATCTCGCGGGGGGGCGGGATCGTGGGTGCGCACTGCCGAGGAGCCCCGTGCTAGGACGAAACGATCGTCCAGGCGTTCCATGTTGGTCTAGCTTCAATCGACTCATGATTTCAACTATTGGAAGAGGAATAAGACAGCAAAATTTGAATTTTTTTATACAATGAGAAAACAAAAGTATATTCTATGAGTATTTTGTTATTCGGTGGTATCCGGATTCGATTATATATGTATAGTGACGTAGATGAGATGGCTGTCCACCAAACAAACGATGGATTTACTATGCATAAGTTTTATTCTACTTTATGAATTTGAAGTATGATCATTAGGAATAGTGGATATCTGTAGGTCAATCTTGAATACCTCCAAAGCATCACCTGCACTTTTTGGGATCACTAAGTGAGCAATGTTGAGGTTAGGGACAGAGCATTAAGTATAACTGGGGAACTGGCTGACGAGATAGTAATTTTTCACCATCTGAAGTGGTTGGGACATGTATTGTGTATGTCCAACCACCGCCTACCTTGACGAACATTATCTCGCGTAGGGGTAAAGTAGAAGAAAGAGGCGGCCAAACCAGCCGACGAGATCATTGACAATTGGACTGAGCCATAATAATAGGTATAGACGGTCTGGTTGGAGTCCATGTGATTATCATAACTAATCGTTAGAGACTGAGTGATACACCTCAAAATAGTTTCCAATGGCACAGGTGCATACACTCCTTTAGATCCTGAATCTTCGAATCTCGATTTGATTTTTTCCTTTACTACCTAGTCTTTCCTACTACTACTGATACTTCTAAAAACCTGAGATGTATCATGATGTTGGTATATCACTGTTAATTTTGTGTGGCAACTTAAACCGATGCAAATATATATCGAATTCTATTTTATATAGGACTGTGCAAAGCATAGGTCGACTAACGACGAGAAATATAGATTCTTTCGTTAAAATCAAACATTTTGACAGAAGTTCGTTTTTAAAAATGTTAGGGTTATGGTGAGTTCAATGTCTGCAATAACAGGAGAAGCAAATTGTTCCTTGTAGCTTTTACATAGTACATATCACTATTGCTGAATATCAGGAGCGTCGTTTAAATAGAAACATTTTTCGTCCACTAATTATGTGATTGACGGTAAATTGAAACTGTTTATCCTTTTTTTTTCTACGCAAGTAAGTGTAGAATTTCGCTATACAAAACCTGAACCATTCACAATCGAAAACATCGATATGATAGATAAATACGAAGGCCAAAAAACAAAGTTAACACAAAGGTGTTAGTGTATACACTCTTTGTCTTCGTTTAAAC